CAAAAAAAAAAAAAAAAAAAAAAAAAAGAGAGAGAATCTTAGAGAAATTCCTTGACTTAACCTATAAAACATTAGAAAATGTCTTAATTTCCCAGAGGCTCATTTTTCTCATCTGTGTAATGGGATATTATTATTATAGCTACCGTTTCTTAGGATTCTTGTGAAGATTACAAGAAATATTGTATGTGAAACCACATTTAAAATTCCATCTTTTTTTTTTTTTGAGTTGGAGTCTCACTCTGTCATCCAGGCTGCAGTCTAGTGGCATGCTCACGGCCACTGCAGTCTCCACCTGCTGGGCTCAGGGGATCCTTCCACCTCAGCATTCCAAGTAGCTGAACTACAGACACATGCCAGCATGTCCAGCTAGTTTCTGTGATTTATTGTGGAGACAAGGTCTCACCAAGTTGCCAGGCTGGTCTTGAACCCCTGGGCTCAGGCAATCTTCTTGCCTCAGCCTCCCAAAGTGCTGGGATTATAGGCTGAACCACTGTGCCCAGCCCCATCTGTTTTATATGGTCTTTGTGGAAGTTCTAGTTTTGTGTGTGTTTTTCTCTCAGGTCGTCAACATTTTCTTTGAAAGTTCTCTTTTTTTTTCTTTTGACTTTTCACATCTCTCATTTCAGATTCTCTGTCACTTTGACTTTTCTAATCAATTAATTTGTTGTTCATCTGTTCTATCATAGTTGGATAAAAATGTTGACGTCCTGACAGTGGATGTCAGAGCTGTTGAGGATGGGGAGACTATTTTGGGGTAAGGTGACACAGTTTTCCAGCGGCCAAAATAACCAGAGAAGTAGCTGAATTGCTGATTTGGAACCGAACAGATGAGAAGAGAAAAGTGAAGAAAGGTAGGATGGGAGAGGGAACCACACCCAGCAGAAGAGACTGCGGGGTGAGATGAGCAGGGGACAGAATCCTCTGGAGGGTGAGAAGAAGGTGAAAGAAGGACACACATGTAGAATCAGGGACAGCTAATATTCTACTGGATGTTGTCTGGTTGCTGTGATATAAATGCCCGACTAAATTTAAAAAATTTTAAAATCCTTTCCAGCTGCTGGAGGAGGCTTTTGGGGACATATGGGAAAGAGTTGAGTCCAGATCAGGGTGTTGGGGTACAGGGACAGCAAGGAATGAATGAATGCATTGGAAATCAGAGGTGACCATGCCAATGTAACCTCCCTGGGAAATTACAGACATCTTGGGAAGGACTTTGAGTAGTCACTGGGGATAAGACAGGGGTTTGAGTCAGTCTTATCTATTCTGAAGGGGATGGTGACTCCAGTTGACATCTAGACAGTCATTTTAAAACATAACATATGTCAAATGCCAGTTATGTATTCCTCGGGCTTGGGTTCTATCTAAAGAAAGCCTATAATGCAAGAGGAGCTGACAAATGTTTGTTGAATAAAATGATTTCAGTTTTTCCTGTCACTAATTTATCATCCTTTGTTCCTCTCTTACTGCATTTTTTTTGAGTGGCCTCAGGAGCTATTTCTAAACATTCTCCATATCCTTCTCAGCAAAAACTAATTTTGCCCTGGTGTTTCCTTCCTGCATCTTTTGTTTATCCCCAGTAACTTTCATGTTCCTCATTCTTTCCTTCAACCTGAAAGCCATCACCGTGGTCTGCTCTCCACCTCTACTGCCTTCTCAGGTTTCCCAGTGAGTGTTACTGACTCAGCTGCAGGTCTTCTGTTTGTTTGTTTGTTTGTCTTGGCGCTTGTGGCTAGCACAGCAATGCCAGTCTCCTTTTTATAGTGAAAGATTCTTGGATGGCCTACACAAATACTCCCTTGTGCTTCACATTTTTTGTTAAAATTCAGTTTATAGAGAGTGAGAGAGAGAGAGAGACAGAGATTGAGAGAGACAGAGATAGAGAGATGATAGAACACTAGAACACACACAAGGGCTTATCTTTTGGAGATAATATGCTAATATGCTGAAGTATTTCTAGTTTAAATTTTATGATGTTTGGGATTTTCTCTAAAATAATCCAGAAGGTGAGAGGGAAGAGGGAAAAGCAGTAGGGGGCTGGATGCTATAGCAAAAACAAGATTGGCCACATTGTTGAAGCACTGTGATGGGTACACAAAGGTACCCATCAGTATAATATGCATTCAACCTTTGTGCAGCTTTGAAAATGTCATTATAAACAGCAAGTCTGTTTACTAAAGATCTGAACATGAGTTATTGATCTCCACAGACACCACATTTTTTTTTGACTGCACGTGAACTTCAGCTTATTTCTTGAGCCTGATCCACAGTGTATCCCCTAGTGCTCTCTCAAAGCTGTATCTAAACTCTTTTCCTATTGACTTGTCAGCATGTCTATTTCATTTTTGTCTAAGAGATCCTGGTGAGAAGGGGCGGGGCAGTGTCGTACTCATCTTTGTGTCCCTAGCAAAGAATCTGTTGAGCTGAAATGAAATGAGCTAAAGAAAGTATCTGTCTGTGACTCTCCTAGCCTAAAACAATCCCCACTGTCATGGCTTTTGATAACTGTGGCCCACCACAGGGAGCTACTGGCCAAGTGGAGCCATAGTTTGTCCTCACCGGGCTTTCTTCCTGTGTAGAGAGGAGGGGAGAGGGAATGGCCCTTTGGCTTTCTGCACATATGGCCAGCTACCTACAAAATTCTTTCATGGACCTGGTCCTTTTTCTTCTGGTATATTATTTAAGACAATTCCAATTTCCCTTTGGACTTGAAGTTCACATCAAGCTTCTTACCACCTGTGATTTGGTGATTTATTTTTTTCTATTTCTTTTTTTTTTGAGTTGGAGTCTCACTCTGTTGCCCAGGATGGAGTGTAGTGGCCCGCTCACAGCCACCCCAGCGTTGACCTGCTGGGCTCCGGCGATCCTTCCGCCTCAGCCTTCCAAGTAGCCGGAACTACAGGCATGTGCTACCACACCTGGCTAATATTTGGTGATTTAAATGACTGTATTTGCAGACCAAAACTAATGCTCGGGCCCTTACTGCATAGTCTCCCTATGAACGGCATCTCTTCCCTTGCAATACATCCTTCTCCAGACAAAGAGAATGGTGTCCTTCCTTTCTTCTCACTTGCTTTGGGTGGCTGGCCCTGATGTCATCCTAAGGAAAGGCAAATCTAGCAGTGCCACCATCTGTGTTTCTCATTTCTCTTATCATCTTCTCCATGTTTCTTCCCTGCCTCCGTCCAGCTCCAAATCTTCAGCTTTCCTCTGAATTTCCTGTTCTAGATTCAGCTTATATCGTCTCTTGGTGTTCTCCTATTACTCTAGCAGTTCTGGCAGCTTCTAGGATAGGCATCCTGGTACCACCCTGCTCTCATCGCTCTCTTGAATAACTCTTACAAACCTCAGTGGTCATTTTGTCTCCTTCATAGTATGCAACACTGGGAGGGTTCAACTGGGGAGTCAGGTTTTACTGTTTCTATTTGACAAGGATCTGAAAGTTTGAGTGGCTTGCTTAAGGTTTCAGAACTAGTAAGGGTCGGAAGTAGAATCTCTGCCTCCTAAATCTTAGCTCAGTGTTCTAACCTACACCCACTCTCTGACTTATACTGTGCTGCTGTCCCCTGGGAAAGTAGTGGTGGACCTTAAACCCCTGTGCATTAAATTTGCAGCACTTATTTCACTGAGATAGTTCTGATAATAGTCCCAGAGGACCAGGGACCCAGCTAAGCCAAAATTAGGAGGCAAGGACAAAGTTTCTTAGTGATTCATGCTGGCATTGCCTGAAGGCCTGTAATTGTTTCAAGCAATTCTCTTGTTTTTGAAAAAGAGCTCCTCCAAAAAAATGTCAAGGAGGGAATGGGATTCATCCTCATGTCCAATCAGCATTAGCCAAGTGCCTCTGAATTTTGAGGAATCAGAGACAAGTTCGGCACCAGGTTATGCTCCAAGAGTTGTCAACTTGTAAAATGATGGATTGAAATGCTAGCCCCTTGCCTTGGGTGAAGGGAAGTGTCAATTGTCAGATAACATTATCAATTAGAGGTGCAGAATGATGAAACAGTGAGTGACAGCCAACCTCTGTGGAGAAAGAATGTGGCTGTCCCTGACGATCACCTGAGGATGCCCTTGGCTGTGATGTGAGCGTATGAAGTGTGTGTGTGTGTGTGTGTGTGTGTGTGTGTGTGTGTGTGCGCGCGCGCGCGCGTAGAAGAGGTTAGGCAGATTTAGTGATGACAACACTTTCCCTCCCACCCTGCCTCCAGTGAAAATTAACTTCTATAGCCCAACCCTAATGCCCTGTAGTTCACGATCTCCTCAGTTCTAGAGCTTTCTGGGAGACTCTGAGCAAATCTCCTGCTGAAACTATAATTCTACCTTCCATCCTTAATTGCTTGGCAGAAAAAAATGTTTGTCATCAATTTAGTTTTTCATTTTTCCTCACCAAACTTTCAAAACAAGCTATTTATGTGGGATACTGGAAAAGACATTTCACCTCAAGTGAACACTTGAACATTCTAAGACAAACAACTAGAGAAAAGTCATTCCTTATGTTTGCATAGAATGTTGGCCTCAGCCAAACCTGAACTACTCTAACCGCTGCCTACAACTCAATGTGGGTGGAACAACTCAGGATCAGTATCAAGGAGAGGAGTGCTTATCCAGGGAGAATGGAATGGAACAGTCAGGTATTCTAGTCCTGTCATTTACTCTACAGAACTATGTATGTAAATATCAATGGGATCTGACCTGGACCAAAAAGAGGCCCAAGAATACACTGGATTTATAATATTTGATGCTTTATTATCTAAAGTCAAAAGAGAAGCTACAGAAGCTGTTTTATTTACCAAGCAAGTGCGTTAGGCCTATGGAAAGCTTTGGCCCTTTTTGCTAAGCTGTTAGATGTTTGAGGCAGTTGACCAGACGCCTGTGTTTTACATCCGGGCTTAACATTTTCGAGGCTGCTGAATAATGTAGATCTTTTTCAGTGGAGCGACCTTCTCCAGAGCAGGTGTGGGTTTTTGATGTGCCATGTGCACTGCTGCTGGATATTTATGGTTGAGCTGAAGGTGAGAAAGGAAAAAAAAAGCACATTGGATCTTTTTAGGTCATGAAATATTAAAGTAGTAGAAAGCAACACAGTGGTCAGTGGAATTTCACAATTTCCACAATTTCATTTATTTCTTTGATAATACCACTTTTTCCATATCATTTCTAGTTCTGAACCCATGGGGGCCTGTGTTATTGTGGGTTTTCCCTCACTCATTTGTGTTTAAATTTAAAAAATTTTAAATGACATTTTAACAAGTAGAATTGGTTAAATATATCTGCATCAGTCCTCTGTAATATTAGCAGTCACTCTGGCACTGGTATGCATATATGGATTGTTGTTTGCTAAGAAGGATATAGGGACATTGGAGAAGGTTCTGAGGGGGGCACAAACCCCCTCAATTGCCAAAAGAAATAAAGAATCTCTGAAAGAAGTTAGGGTTATTTATTAAGACTATATTTTCAGGATTTATATATATTTATATTCTGTTATTAGGTCTAAGTATGCGAAATTGCTATATAAGTTAAAAATGGTGTGATAGTGGCCATTCCACATGGTTCAATCTAAGGAGGCCAGTGAAGAGAAGACTGAGAAATGACCTACTAGCTTCAGGTAATAAAAATTCTCATTAGTCATCTCCATAGAAGACATCTATGAGGAAGCAGGCTTAAACAGATTTAAATGAACACAGATTGAGACTTTATTTGTTTACTTATTTTTATAGAGATGAGGTCTTACTATGTTGCCCAGACTGGTTTCAAACTCTTGGACTTCAGCAAACCTCTTGCCTCGGCCTCCCAAAGTGCTAGGATTACAGATGTGAACCACCATGACTGGCCCAGACTGAGACTTTTGACAATAAAAGAAATTTCCTATGGAATCAATAGACCTTATGGAATTTATATTAAGGATAGTTTAAGATGGAAAGAATGCCAGTGCTACTAAATATTTTAGACATAGTTTTCCTAGGAGGAGATTTTGAACCCAGTGACCTTTTGGATCTATTTCAGTTCTTGGTTTCCAAGCTCATTAATACCATGAAGTATCTAAGGACACCTCTCTTAGTCAGCAAAGAAGGGCATCTCAGCTCACTAGGAATTTAACTTACCACTATTGAACTTAGATGCCCTTGCCTTGACACGCAAATTAAACAAAAGAGGAGATAAACTGTTCATGACCCTAAGCATCACATTGTTTATGATTTGTTTGGGCTCTTTTAAACCAGGGAAAACATATATGCCTTACATCTCTTCTCAGATGTCCCTACCCAAGCCCTAGGCACACAGCAGTCCCTTTCATGTGAAACTTAATGCCAAAATGTCCTTTCTTCTTGGTCTTAAAAAATTAAACACACTGGAAGAATATACACTGAAGTGTTAGCAATGGTTATCTCTAGGGGATAGAATTGTGGAAAATTCCTAGTCTTTTTCTTTGTCTTATCAGTATTTAAAAAATTTTTTTCTTTTACAATGAGCAGGTACAAGTTATATAAGAATTAAGCTCAAGGATGATCTCTATCAACATTTTAGCAGAATGGACAAAAACATAATTGAAGCAATGATCATAAATATTGCATTAGAGTCTAAAAAAGACCTAGTGACTTTTTTGTCAGATCAGTTATCATCAGACCTCATGACATGCATTTTACAATGTGGAAAGGGCAGATCGTTTTGTTTTATTTTTCTTTTAACATTAGAACCAGAAGGAAATCGAAGAGGTCACTGACTTCAGTAGTTTGATTCCAGACTGGGTGTCATTATTCTCAACTAAAACAGATGGATTATTTCAGGATAGCTTTAAATCACATTTAAGAGATCACAGGTAGGAAGAATAATTTGACAAGTTATTTAAGGCCAGGTGTAAGGTAAAAGGGGGTGAGAAAGGGAACAAACAAATAATTCTGATATAACAAAAGTTGAGCAATTATCCAAGGTGGGGTAGGGCAAGACAATAAGATGGGACTGGAAGGGAGAAACTCACATGTTGACTGTTGTTTTTAAGGTGTGGGAGAACTGATGGGTGGAGGTAGGAAAGGAATAGGGAGAGAAGAACGGAGTGTTAGAACACACCTGTAGCCGGGCTCAGTGGCTCAGCCTGTAATCCCACGCTCTGGGAGGCTGAGGTGAGTGGATTGCATGAGCCCGCGGGTTCGAGACCCACCTGGGCAACTTGGTGAGCCCTCATCTCTACAATAAATCAAAAATTAGCCGGGCGTGGTAGCATGTGCCTGTAGTTCCGGCTACTTGGAAGGCTGAGGCGGAAGGATCACTGGAGCCCAGCAGGTCGAGGCTGCGGTGGCCGGGAACGACCACTGCACTCCAGTCTGGGCGACAGAGTGCGACTCCAACTCAAAAAAAAAAAGAACACACCTGTGCCTTAGTTCAGCACTATTTTGTTATTTCATCATCTCCAGGGTGATATCCAAAGTTTAGGGACTTCCTTGCTTTGATCAGTCTTAAAAATTGTGGTAAGATATACAAAACATAAAATTTAACATTTTAACCATTTATACACTTTAACCATTTTTAAGTGTATGTCCAAATAGTTCAGTGGCATTAAATACATTCACTTTTTTTTTTTTTTTTTGAGTTGTAGTCTCACTCTGTCGTCCAGACTGGAGTGCAATGGCCGCTCCCGGCCACCGCAGCCTCGGCCTGCTGGGCTCCAGCGATCCTTCCGCCTCAGCCTTCCGAGTAGCCGGAATTACAGGCATGCGCCACCACACCCAGCTGATTTTTTTGATTTATTGTAGAGATGAGGTCTCACTGCCCAGGCGGGTCTCGAACCCGCGGGCTCAGGCAATTCACTCACCTCAGCCTCCCAAAGGCGCGGGATTACAGGCTGACCCACCGAGCCCAGCACTTTTTTTTTTTTTTTAGTTGGAGTCTTACTCCGTTGTCCAGGCTGGAGTGCAGTGGCATGCTCCCGGCCACTGAAGCCTTGACCTGCTGGGCTCTGGTGATCCTTCTGCCTCAGCCTTCCAAGTAGCCAGAACTATAGGCGCGTACTACCACACCCTGCTAATTTTTGATTTATTGTAGAGATGAGGTCTCACCAAGTTGTCCGGATGGGTCTCGAACTTGCGGGCTCAGGCAATCCACTCGTCTCGGCCTCCCAAGTGCTGGCATTACAGGTTGAGCCACTGAGCCTGGCCCATTCACATTGTTATACAATCATCACTCCCTTCCATCTCCAGAATTTTTCCATTATCTTAACCGGAAACTCAGTACCCATTGAACAATAATTCCCCATTCCTTCCTCCTCTCACTTCCTGGCAACCACCATCCTACTTTCTGTCACTATGAATCTGACTACTAGGTGCCTCATGTAAGTATAATCATACAATATTTCACTTAGCATAATGTCTTTCAGGTTCATCCATGTTACAGCATGTCTAGAATTTCCTTCCTTTTTTTTTTTTTTTTTTTTTGAGTCGGAGCCTCACTCTATTGCCCAGGCTGGAGTGCAGTGGCATGCTCACGGCCTCAGCGGTCTCCACCTTCTGGGCTCAGCCTTCCAAGTAGCTGGAGGTACAGGCGTGTGCTACCGCCCCCCGCCCCCGGCTTATTTTTTGATTTATTATAGAGACGAAATTTCACCAAGTTGCCCAGGCTGGTCTTGAACCACCCCCTCCTCTTGCCTTGGTCTCTCAAAGTACTGGGATTATAGGCTTGAGCCACCATGCCCGGCTTCCTTCCTTTCTAAGGCTAAATAACATTCCATTGTTATGGATATACCACATTTTGTTTATCCATTCATCCACTGATAAATACTGGGGGGTGGGGAGGTTATTTCTACCTTTTGGCTATTGTGAATTATGCTGCTATGAACACTGGTGTAAATATCTTTTCAAGTCTCTACTGTCAATTCTTTTTAGGGTGTATACCCAGAAGTAGAATTGCTGGATCATATGGCAATTTTATATTCATTTTTTTGAGGAACCACAACATTGATTTACACAGCAGCTGCATTATTTTATATTCCCTTCAGCAATGCACAAGGGTTAGGGATTCCACTTTAACTAAAGCATTTAACTGAGGTTCTAAAACCCTGCTCAATTGCCTCTCAGGAGAGGAATGCCACCCCTGAGACCTGCAGGCCATCTGTGAACTGGTCTGGAAAAGTTTGGAAAAAAAAAAGAAAATCAACAGAATTGAGAAAAAAGGGGAAATAGTTCTGGCAAAGATAATAGCCTTAAAGAAGCTGACCATAATTGCTAAGCTACAAGTGTATAGGTTTTGGGGTGTCAGTAGCAGAATTTTACAGCAGCTCTTGAAAATAGGACACCTCTCGGTGGTTCAGCCTGTAATCCCGCGCTTTGGGAGGCCGAGGTGAGTGAATTGCCTGAGACCCTCGGGTTCGAGACCCGCCTGGGCAACTTGGCGAGACCGTGTCTCTACAATAAATCAAAAAAATTAGCTGGGAGTGGTAGCATGCGCCTGTAGTTCTGGCTACTTGGAAGGCTGAGGCGGAATGATTGCCGGAGCCCAGCAGGTCGAGGCAACTCCAGTCTGGGCAACAGAGTGAGACTTCAACTCAAAAAAAAAAAAGAAAATATGACACCTAGAGAGCCAAGTTCTCTTTCTCATTAATTGTCCCCTCCACCCTCAGTCTGAAGCATTCTGATGTAAAAAGGCTTAAGGGTGTGGGTGGAGAATCTATAAAGAGTCTTCCATCAGAATTGATGAGGTTGTAAATAAAATGGTCAACTCCTAAATGTATTAATTCTTTCCTGTAGATTTTATGTCAACGGAAATAGGAAGATTTTATTTCCAAGTCCAAACTGGAAATAAGTAGAAACAGTTTCCTAGAGTACAACCTACAACCAGCTGTGTTTTAGTCTGACATTTTGTCTTTTAGGAAGCTATGGGATTTTCATCATTAGTCATTGTAAAATGATAGTGTTTGTAGAATGAAAGGTGTTTCTTGTCTGATTCATTAGGGTAAGAGAATCTAGTGTGACCCCACAAGAAAGGAGGCTGCCTTGCTGTGGCTCCATTACAGGGGTAACAC